TATAACATTGTGTTAATGTTATATGAAATAGCTTTTGATTGAATAAAAGCATTGAAATGGGTGTTTTCAAATGGTATGTTAATATATATGCTATGTATGAGAAAATGTGTAAAGTGGTACTGAGCAACCTTAAATGGTTCAGAAAGCATGATCATAAGGGTAGGAGTTCACCCGAGTAGATGTGGTGATAAAGACTATATGCCATGCTCTCCTTAGGGCCCGACAGGGTACAGTGTTGGAGACAATTCCTCTTAGTTCTTTATAAGGTGTGGTGTTGGAGAAGATCTCTTTAGTGCCTATTGAGGTACGGTATTGGAGATGCGAGACTCCTTAAAATATGTGATATGGTGTTGGAGTCAATAACATACCATTGTGTGTATTGGGGCAAACCATAGTCCATATGTGCCATATAACATCTTTAGCTGGGTGATTCTACCACTGTAGGTGAGCTCAAGGCCAATGAGAGTATACATTAGTCTAAGGTGAGCTTATGGTTTTATGTTAAGGTGATTCAAATGTTTGATTGGTAGTGATCATGCTATGAGATGCTATGAAATGCTATGTGAAAGTGGTGAAAAGTGGGAAATGAATGTGTTATATGAATGTAAATGGAAATGAGATATGTGATATAAATGATATTTTAAAGAGATTTTAAATAGTATACTATGCTTTACTTCCATATCGTTGCATGTGATAGTTAATAGGAGTGTAAATATGTGAAAAGTGGAAAATTAGTCAAAGAAGGGTCAAATTTGAATATATTTGTGTGATTGAGATAAATTATAATCAATCAAGTGTCTTAGGTCCTTTTAGACTTAATTCAAGGCCTTGTCTGGTCTAATAAGATAAAGGGATCGATTTGAGTGCTTGGGTGTGCAAATTTTTCAATAAAAGTGACTTTGTGCACTCAAGTATTCAAATTTTGATTGGACTATTATATTGTGTCTAAACCTATCTCATTAATTAGCTTATGAGATAAGCTACGTGTGGGTGCTTGAATCACTCCAATCAGACATTGTATGTGAAAATGGCATGTATTAGAAGTTCATCATTTTTGCTGTCAAAATGATAGCAGAATTTTAGACAGGTACGCCGTGGCACATGGTGACACATGCCGTGGCGCATGACACAGAATAGGCTGAGCGTGTAGCTCTATGCCACATGCCATGTGCAAATATTGCATGTTGCAGTACACGGACTAATTTCTAACTTGATTTATGATGAAAATGCATGCAATTGAGATGAGAATGCTCATCGGTTACATCTACTATGCATTAGACAAATGTGTGGTTTGCTTCTGCTATATATTCTTTGATATGGTATGATTTTGGATGATTTTACAAAATAAGTCTTTGGCCAAAGCCTTTCAAATAAATCCTTTAATTTGTAATTGTGTGTTGAAGTGGTAACTCCGTAATCTTCTCCTGTATTGAGTGAATATAAGCGGAGGCTACACAAATCATGCCTATAGCTTCAAAGTTTTATCATTCTGACTCAAACCAGTCACAAAGTACTAGTTTAGTTTCGAAGAACCTTTCTATTACTATAGGGTAAGAAATCAACTCCTTAAAACTTTCGAATTTAATTTCTCACTAGTTAAAACTAAGAAAAAAAGGGAAGAATTGGAGGTTAAGGCAGTACGAGACTTACTTGATAAGCAATAGGTCAAAAAGGTCGCTCTTACTCTAGAAAACCAATACCCTAACATAGTGCTTTCTCTTCACTATGCCAGACCCTCTTCCTCATTATTTCCTTCCTAATTTTCACGAGCTGCCACAACCTCACTTATCAAAATTTTATACCATACATCACAGCGTATCCACCTTTTGCAGTGGCGCATGGCACAGTAAAGGAAATCGTTACTATGCTTACACGCTCTGCTCCAGGATTCCACTCTTCCACTCATATTTGTTCATAAATGAGTCAAATTAATATCTCACTCTTAAGAACCCTAATCCCACATTAAATCACTAATTCATTCTATAATCAGTCATTAATGTAGGATTAAAATTTGGGTTGTTACTGTAACATCCTGAATTTCTTAATCTCGAGTTTAGTAGTTAATTGAAGGATGATGGTAATTAGTGTGGGATTAGAGATTCAGATGATTAATTGATAATTTGACTTGATGTGTTGTATGAACAGATACAGGCAAGAGGAGTATGTTTCTGGTTAAAGCAATGCATGTGGTGAGAATAAATCTTACTGTGCCACACACCGCAACTTGTACTACATGAACTGTGAAGCATGGACCAGAAAATCACTTCTTAAGTTGTGAAATCTAGTGATTTTTCGAAGTGAAAATTTGAGAAACACCTGAGAGAGGAGAGGTGAAGGGCTGAGAAGCGAAGTCAAGCCATTTCAAGTCATCGGAAGGTGATTTGGATCGATAACTTGTTAAGTAAGCTACGTATAATTCTTACCTTCCATTTTACACAAATTTCTCTGAAAATAGGCTATAAGGAAATTGAACCGGTGGAATTTAAGGGGTTTGATTCTTACCCAATAGTAATAAAAAGGTTTTTGGAAGTTAAATTAAAACTTTGGGATTGGCTTAAAGCTGAACGATAGAGTTTTAAACCTGTAGGCTCAATTTGACCTTAGAGAGAGAGAGAGTTTTAAGGAAAAAATATGAATTGAGTTAAAAAAAACCAGTCGAGGTGATGTAAAGTAGTAATTGGTTAGTAATGGACCTAGAATGGATTGATGGAAAAAAGTTTACAAATAAATCTAGCCTTTAGTAGTAGAAATGAGTTTTTGGTCAAAATAGACCAAATGACTAAAACATGTCAAATGTGTTTAGATTAGCATATTGGATGCGTGAGTAGAGGCAGGAAGCTTGAGATAGGCTATAGAGGTTATTGCAATCCACGGGTAACCTTTCTATTGACAGAAAGGTTGAGGTAACCAAATAACTTCCTTTGTTTGACTGTTTATTGTAACTATATGTTAGTATGCTATGTAGTGGATGAAATGGTTTTAAACTGAGCATGTTTTATAACATTGTGTGATTATTGTGTGAAATGGTTTTTAATTAAAATGAAGCATTAAAATGTGTGATTTCAAATGGAATGTAAGGTGTGTGTGTGTGTGTGTGTTATGTTTGAGAAATGAGTAAAATGATAAATGGGAACCTTAAATGGTTCAGAGAAGCATGATCAGGAGTTCACCCGAGTGGAAAAGAATAAAGACCATATGATAAGGTTTCCTTAGTACTTAATAGGGTGTGGTGTTGGAAACATTCTCCTTAGTACTTATTGAGGTGCGGTGTCGGAGATGAGAGACTCCTTAGTGTCTTTATGATGTGGTATTGGAGTCAACAATGCCCCATTGTGTGTATTGGGGGAAACCATAGTTCATATTGTATGTTAGAACATCTTTGGCCAGGTGATTCTACCATTACAGGTGCGCTTAAGGCCAATGAGAGTGTACATTGGTCTAAAGTGAGCCTATGATTTCGTGTCAAAGTAATTTATAGATTTAGTCGGTAGTTATCATACTAGCATGATATATGATATGTTGAGATATGTTATGAGATGGCATAGGATCCTATGTGATTGATGAAAAGTTAAGAATGAAATGAGATATGTGGTATAAATGTTATTTTAATGAGATTTGAATGATATGATATGCTTTACTTCTATATTGTTGCATGTAATAGTCAATAGGAGTAAGTTATTCTATTACTGAGATTTTTATTTCACCCCCATGGTTACATGTTTACAGGATCGGGAAGTAATCAAGGCAAGGGAAGAGAGTCTGGACTGGCTTGAGTTGTAAAGCCATGTACTTTAAGTTTATGCAATGAATTAAATCAAGATTTTATGTATATATGTGAATGAGTTGCCATAGGGTTGCATGCATGAATTGAATTGAAATTTTGTGAAATCTAGCCTGATTGTGTGTAAATGTATTGAAATGAATCAATGAGTTATGATTGAGTATGTTTGTGTTGAAATGGTTGTTTGTGTTGGTGAATCTTAAGCCTAAGAGACAAATTATGATAAAATGAGTAATTTGAGGCTAAGATTATATTGTGAACATGAATGTATATGAATGTGATTAGAAAAGGCCCCATAGGCCTAAGGTATGCCAAGAAATAGCGAAGTGTATAAATTATGAAATTGTGAAAATTGACCGTAGAAGGGTCAAATTTCAATATATGAATATGATTGTGTTAAATTATGGTCAATTAGGTGTATTAAGTTCTTTTGGACTTGATTCAAGACCTAGTATAGTCTAATGAGAGAAAGGGATTGATTTAAGCATGTGGGTGCACAAATTTTTAGAACAAGTGACTTTTTACACTCGAGTGTCCAAATTTTAATTAGACTGTTAGATCATGTCCAAACCTATCTCATTAACTAGCTTATAAGTTAACACTGGTACAAAAATGACTTTTTACAATGGTTAAAAATAACTTTTTATAGCAGTTAAACAGGTAATGTTGTTCTAGGGGGTGTAGAAAGTCCCTCTTTTTACATCAGTTATAAACCCGATGTAAAAACTAATATTTTTACATTAGTTATAAAGCCAATGTTGAAAGTTATATACAAGAAAATAAAAAAAAATTACTTTAACTTTTAACACTGGTTGGGCTTCCAACCGATATTAAAAGTGAACTTTTAACACTGATTATTACCATAATCGATGTAAAAAATATTATATTCTACAGCGGTTATAGTAATAACCGGTGTAAAAAGTATTCAATTTTTTTATATTATATTTATTTTATCAATTTTGGCCATTCCTGTGCGTAAAAATTGCCAAATCAAACAGCTCAATTCAGTTATAATTGTTTATCAAGTATTTATCTACGATACAAAGCTATTTAATGATTAGAAAAACTAACAATTGTCAAAATTGTCAAAATTGCCATTCCTATGCATAAAAATTGCTAAATCAGACAACTCATTTCATTTATAATTGTTTATCAAGTATTTATCAACTATACAAAATTATTTAACTATTAGAAAAACTAATAATTGTCTAAATTGTGTCAACTATCAAAATTAAAATGTCTAAAAGTAACAAAAAATCTCACAAGTTCTCCACAAAATAGGTTGCCCAACGTATGCGGATCTCTTCAATTTCAGCTTCAGGAAATACATCTGAATTGTCAAACATCTAAAATTTGATTCATAAAATAAGCGTATTAATCAATCTCAAATAGCATAATAAAATAAAACTTTTAAAAATATATTTACCTCTTTTGTAAATTCGGTCATGCCTAATGTGATAATATTGAGCATGTGTCTCATGACATATAGACCGCACAAGTTCATCCTCACCAGTTGTCTATGACTCTGTATAAAAACAAATCATAAAAAATTAGTAAGAAATCTTAATAATTGAACATATTAATAAAGTATAGCATCACCTTTGGCTCAATCCATGTGGGATTCTTGAGCTCATATCCATGCTTTTGTAAGACTACATTTTGATATGTTCTCATTGCCCTATGATCAAGATCACCAAGTTAGTAAAAATATTCAAAAAAAAAATTAAGACATGGCTAAGTAAAATAATTCTTACAAGTCTATCGTTTTCTTCATTTCTTTCTCAAGTTTGTAATGGAGGGAGTATAAAAAGACGACAGTGTTGCTCTTCATTGAAAGAACAAATAACTACCAATAGTCCCTGCTAAATATGATACAAGTTAAAGTAAAACCATATTAAAAAAACTATTAATTATAAATTGATCCTTACGAGTGCACATATGGAGCCATAAAAACATCCTTTTTGACTTCACATATTCTTTGTTGGAGGTACGCGACCCTTAACTTTGGAGTATTACCTTTCTTTGTCATGTGATGAAGGCAAAGGAATTCAAACCTATCACCTTTACCTGATGTAATGCACAAATGATGAAGGTACCTACAACAATGCAATTATATTAGTTTACTAAACTTGATGATTAAGTTTACTTACAGCAATGCAATTATATTAAAGAAAAATATACTTACATCATAAATAGTTCAATGTATGGTGTGGTAAGTTGATTATTCGACAGAAGTTGAACTAAATCTTCCCATTCAATTGTCGCTATCAGTCTTTCTTACCCACAACCTCCAGATCCATTTTTAAACTCTAGAATTTGAATGATAAATCATATGCCATTAAGATCATTCACTGATGCGGAGTCAACGAGGGTTGTGGAAGTTTCAGGAGATTTGGTGAGGAAAGCTTCTACATAATAAAAAGGCAAGAAATAGTCAATAAAAAACATATATTAGGAAGTTGCTACATAATAAAAATTCATGAAATTTCATACCACAACTTGAACTAGATTCACAAGTCTCTTGGGCCATAGGATAAAATTGCCAACAGTTTCAACCACAGTCTTCACCTCATCAGTAGGGAATGGAACCAAAGCATCTGGCACTTTTGGATTTGCAACCACCACTCTTACTTGATCATCTTGAATTTGCTTGTGATGGATGGTTGACCCCAAGCTGTAGATGCTACCAAGAGCAACCAAGCATTTATCAAGATCTTTTAAAAATATCTCACATGGTTCACCAATATTATCACCAGAAGGACCCTCTAACACACGCTCAAGAACATTACTCCCTTTCGTACTATGAAATGCAGGAGACGTATGAACTGGTTCAGCAGTTGTCTCTTGTCGTGAGCTCATCATGCTCATCATCTCCTCCTTCGTTTGCTCTTTCATTTGTAGAAGCTGAGCTACAAATGAAGCTTGAAACTCATCCTTAATTTGCTGCCTCACAGTGGATATCAATGTATCAAGCTCTTCTCTAGTTACCACACCTCCTGAATTGGGATGTGCAGGTGCTCCAAAGTAGTCTTTAATGCCCACACCATATCTAATGTCCCTCACATGATCCAGATGCTCTGGCTTGCCTGTAGCAACTATTAAGATATCATTTCTGCCCTTTGAAATGAAGCTTCCTTGGGCTTGTTGCTCCTTAAGAGCATCCTATAATATACAAATAACAATATTAATTAATAATATATATATAATTGTATAGAAATTTAAAGGGACAAGGAATAATAATTTTACTTACAATCCTCTCGGCAATCTCCCATGCTGTCTTACTTGTATAGCCCCCTTTCTTGTACTAATGTCCATATCTCCATTTCTCCTCTCGAGAGACAGGTGATGGTGGAGAAAGGAGTATGGAAGGATCAGACTTAGCTTCTTCTTCTCTCTTCTTCTATTTCTCTGCCATCAATATATCATCAGCTCTAGCATAACCCTCACAAGATAGGGTGTGGAGGCATTGATTCTGCTGAGCAATTTCTCGCCCTTTAGCTCCATTTTCCTATTAATAAATTGAATTTTAGATTTTATAATTGAAGTAAATCTAAATAAAACTTAAATCAATTAAAAATTAACAAATCAAAGCCTTTTCAGAAGTCCGAATCATGACAAATTCTTCCCAAGTATCTTTATCAAGGAACTGGTATGTATCAAGAGGGTTAGGACGAGCTTAACCCTCTGGCACCTCGACAAAGATATATCTTCTAGCAAGATCAGTTTTAAAATTTCTCCAATGTGTTCCACAACAAGAAATCAACTTGTGTCGACAATCTTGATTAGATGGAACATCGTATGTGAGCTACAATGAAGATATAAGATAATAATCAGTAATTGCCTAATAATATATAACCATAAAAAAATTTTAATTTTTAATTATTTACCTGAACACTTTCCCAAATTTGTTCCTTTACACATTCTGGCAGATCAGGCCAATCCTCAAACATAATAGGAGGCTTGGTATGAGATAGGAGGCTAAGAAAACTAACAAACTTGGCTTTATGTGGCCCTATTGGATTCCATCTCCGGTCAAATTGAATTGGTAAGCTACACTTAGCACTCCTATTTAAAGTTAGATCTCTCAATCGTGTGCCACATCTCCCCCTCCTCATAGATTGGCTCTGACTCGGCTCCTCACTAGGGGTGCCTTGACTCAGCTCCTCACTAAGAGCAACATCACCAATTGATTGGCTTGTAGTGGGCTGGCTTTGAGTGTCATCACCTTGATTCTCCATATTCCTATAAATTCAAATAAATTAAAATAATTAAAAAAATAATCAAAGATAAGATAATTAAGAAAAACAATCCCATAACATAAATTTAATTGAACTAAATTAACATACTTTAATTTCAAAACTAAACTCATATAGGGATATTCTCCCATATCCCTTCATGGTGATCACTTCTTATGGCATGTTCATCATCTATTTCATCTACTACATCCAAAATTGGTAGCCCACTTGAGAAGTTAGGAGTTTTAGAAATATCAAAATTTGATTCATGATCATCATCACTATCAATCATCCTTTTTCCTTTAAATGCTATTGACCAATTTTTATGTGCTGGATCTGTGACATAGAAAACTTATTTAGCTCGGTCTACCATAATAAATGGCTTATCTTCAAAAGTTAGTTTTTTAAGATCAACCATTGTAAATCCAAACTTATCATCACGAATACTATTGACGTCAAGCCACTTGCATTTGAAAATAAGAACTCTAAATTTTGTATAATCAACCTCCCAAATCTCTTCAATAACCCCAAAGTAAGTTTTAGATGCTAGTTTAGGTTTCTTAACTTTTGAACTAGAGAAGTGTATGGCTTCAAACATTATCATAACTCCACTATTTTGCACTGTACTCTTCTCATCCAAGGACTTTGTATAAAAGGAATACCCATTAATATCATAGGCACTCCAACATATAACATCAAAGTTAGGACCTCCAGCCAACCATTTAATTATTTCAAAAACACCACTTTCATTCAAAATTTTCTGCTTGAACTAATCCACAAAAGTCCTATTGTGCTCTTTTAACAACTTTTGTTCTGTCATTCTCATTTGATAATTTTTTGCCTTTAGAAGTTCTTTATGAGAAGATATGTAATATTTAACTTCATTAATATTATTCAAGATATATAAATGTACTTCTTGTAATTCATCATGATTCATGCTCTTCACTGATACTTCACGTGTGCCTTGACCATATTGCCTTTTCTCATGATGAGATTTAGAAGTTCAATTGATTCTGTACTTGACAAGTAATCAGAACAAAACTCCATAGCTTCTTCAGCAATATATTTCTTAACTATCGATGCTTCAGGTTGATATGGATTTTTGATATACCCTTTCAGTATTTTCATGTATCTCTCAACTAGGTACATCCATCGTAAATAAACAAGACCACACAATGTTACCTCCCTTACTAGATGCACTATTAAGTGAACCATAATGTCAAAAAATGTAGGAAGAAAGTGCATCTCAAGTTGGCACAAGATAGTACAAGCTTCTTGTTCTAACTCTTCTAGTTTATAGGAATCAATAACTTTACTGCATATAGCATTGAAGAAAAAACAAAGTCTTATTATTGTAAGTCTTAAATCTTCTTTTAATATGCCTTGAATAGCCAAAGGTAATAGCTGTTGCATCAAGACATGGCAATTATGAGATTTTAAGCTTACCAGTTTCAACTCTTTCACAAATACAAGCTTCATAATATTTGAAGAATAGCACGAAGGAACTTTGATTCCATGTAAACACTCACAAAAACTTATTTTCTCAAATTTGCATAATGTATGAGAGGCTGGGGGACAATAAGTTTGTTTACTTTTTGGTCTTAGGTATAAGTCTTCCCGTATTCCCATTTCTTTCAAATCCAATCTTGCATCCACACCATCCTTAGTCTTACCTGGTATGTTCAAAAGCGTTCCAATAATACTATCACACATATTTTCTCTACGTGCATAACATCAATACAATTTCTTACTTTAAGATTGCGCTAATATGGGAGGTCAAAAAAGATAGACCTTTTTTTCCATTTGCTTTTTGCATCAGTATTCTTTTTAGTCTTACTGAAGATAATATCAATGTTTTTTACATGTTCATACACTTGATCCCTAGTCAAAGCATCCAGAGCATCATTGTGTTCTTGGTGACCATGAAAAGCTTTCTTCAATCTACGATATGGGTGATCTCGTCTAAGAAACCTCTGATGGCCAAGGTAGACTGTCTTCCTTCCATGTTGAAGTTGATGGTAGTTTGTGCTTTCTTCACAAATTGGACAAGCTTTATGACTTTTCATACTATAACCAAACAAATTTCCATATCTAGGAAAATCATTTAAAGTACAAAAGATCATAGCACGTAACTTAAAATTCTCCTTCTAATTTGCATCAAACACTTCCACACCTACCTCCCACAACACTTTTAAATCTTCAATCAAAGGTCTTAGGTAAATATCAATATAATTTCTAGGTTGTTTTAGTCCCGAAATCAACATGGATAGCATCATGTACTTCCATTTCATGCACAACCTAGGTGATAGATTGTAAATTGCCAAAAGAACAGGCCATGAACTATGTATACTACTAAGACTACCATAAGGATTCACTCCATCGATAGAAAGTCCAAGCCTCAAGTTCCTTGGCTCATTGCTAAATTCAAGAAACAAGTGATCAATTTTCTTCTATCGAGGAGAATCGGCTGGATGTCGAAGTTTTTTATTAGATATCCTCTCATTTACATACCATATCAAGTTCTTTGCATTATCAGTATTTGCAAACAAACGCTTAAACCTTGGTATAATTGGAAGATATCATAAGACCTTTGTAGGAGCCCCCTTCTCTTTGTATCGTGGTGCCTCACATTTCAAACACTTCTCCTCCCCTTCAAGCTCTTTTCTATACAACACATAATCATTAGGACAAGTGTGTATTTTTTATACTTCATACCTATTAGACATACAATCTTCTTGGCATCGTAATAACAATTTGGTAGTACATTTCCTTTCAGAAACATTATTTGAAGTAACTCTAGCAACCATGTGAAACTTTAGTCACTCCACCCAACTCTTGCCTTTAAGGTAACAAGTTTTAACACCCCAGATAACAAACTAAAATTAGTGCACCCCGAGTATAGAGGCTTCTTTGTGTCAGTGCACAAGTTATCATACACATGTGCTCGTTCAAAAGTCTCTTCCCTAACATCACGGATTATGTCTTCTAACCGATCTTCATTCATTTCTACTTCATCATCAAGATTATTAACTTCCACACATTAAGACGTGTTACTATAATTTTCCAATCGTTCACCATGCCAAATCCATATTGTATAACTTTTGCAAATCCCATCACAAACTAAGTGCTCTCTTATTTCGGCAACACCTAGTCTCCTCTCATTCAAATAATTAACACAAGGACAATAGAACCTTTCACTATTGTCAACAGTATTTTTCTTAGTAAATTCTAAAAAATTCTTTCACCCATTATCATACTCGTCACTCATTGGTCTAGCATTCATCTAACTACGATCCATATGTCACCTCCTAAAGAATATAACTAATGTTATTATCTTCAAACTATTTCAAGAAACTAAATTTCTAATTAATTTAAGATTTGAAAAATTTTCGGCAGAGTCTTCCCTGAAAATTAGATCTCCCAAGACTTTAAAAAAAATTATAAGAGAAAATTGACATTTTTAAATCAAATAAATGATCACATGCAACAACCTGAGGCCTTATAAAGCCACTAACAGCACTCCCAGCAACAATCAATATCATTAAAAACTAAATTTAAGCAATTTAGATGAAAGAATGAATTTTAAAAAAATTTCGACAAAGTCTCCCCTAAAAATCGGACTTCCCAACAGTTTTAGAAAATTTTACACGAGAAAATTAACAATTTTTAACCAAATAAATGATCACATGCAACAATCTGAGGCCTTATAAAGCCACTAACAGCACTCCCAACAATAATCAATATCATTAAAAACTAAATTTAAGCATTATAAAATTTAAAAATTCATATTCAACATATACCTAAGTGGCAGTAGCAATAGCTCAGCACTAAGAGAGTGAAGAGGGGAGAAGGAGTGGTGGCAGGGCAGAGGCACTGAGGAGGGAGGGTAGGGACAGGGGGAAGGGGGAGGGGGTGGGTGAGGGAGGGGAAGACGAAGGGGAGGGGCGACGAGGGAAGGGGAGATGAGGGGGGCGGTAAGGGAGGAGGAGACGAGGGGGAGGAGACGACAAGGAAGGGACAGCTACAGGGAGAAGGAGGAAGGGTAGGCGGTGAGAGGGAGAAGGAGGAGGGGAAGGGCAGCAAGAGGGAGGAAGCAAATAAAGAAGGAGTAAATGAATGGAGGAGGAAGAAGGAGGGGAATTTAAAAATATTTTTCACACTGGGTGGATTGACTCGGTGTAAAAAGTCCTCTTCTTACATTAGGTTCATACCAGCAGGTGTAAAAATAAGACTTTTTACACCGAGTGGATTCACTCCATATAAAAAGTCCTCTTTTTACACTGGGTGGCCATGCACCCAGTGTAAAAAGTCT